GTCGGGACAGGGCCGCCCCGCGGTGCGCGCTTGCGGGGCTCCGCGTCCTCCCGGAGGCCCATGTGCCCTCTGCTCCCGTCCCGAGTAACAACACTTTCTTCTTGGAAAACGGTGATCCCTTAAGGGAGGATTTAATATTTGCAAAGTGCTTTATAGCATATTACTTCGTGGGTAGATTTAATTGCATTGTAACCCTCCTCTGATTTATGTAAACTCAGCCTGATAAATAGCGCGCAAGGTCAGGTGGGGCGGGAGCAGCGTCGGTGGGCGTCCTTTCTGTGACAGCACTCGGTCCCCAACTGATTTGCTAGAAACGATAAAAAATGGGCACTTCCGTGTTTTTAGTAGTTTCTATATATCGGAAAGCTTTGGACAAATATTTTCACATTACAATTTAGTTCAAACATATTTAGCTTGTTTTCAAAGAAAAAGTTGGGAAGATAGTGAAAGGGGTGCAAGTTTGAATATCGAATGTGACTATTTTTTAAATGTCTCATTGGTATCGACTATATTGCAACAGATTTTCTAAAATTACCTTTCTGTGTCTGCCTAGTGAAGTTGTTAGAAGGAGAAATGAGAACAATCCTCACCATTCTCCCAGAATCCGTTCATTTACAAATGGGCACTGCCCGGAGTGGCTGCAGGAGCGTCAGCGCGGGCAGATTCACAGTGCGCGGTGTCAGGGCTCAGGAGGGATCACCAGAAATGCAAAGGTGGGAAGGGAACTATCGCTTAAATTCAGCTGCCTCCTCGGGCAGTAGGTTTTAATGGTGAAAAGGAAAACCACTCTACAGCCTCTCGCAAGATACTCCCAGGTTAAAAATACTCTTTTCTCAATTACTAAAATGCACAGCGTCATCGTTACTCATGTAAAATATCATTTTCAAATAGAGGACGCCTAAGCAGATTATATGCAAAATTATGAGCGCAATATTCAGGGGACAATTGCGGCCAGGACTGGAGTCATGGTTCAAAGCCAGACCCAACCCCGAATGTCGATATTTCCGTCGCCCCCTCTGACATCTCTGCGAGGAGGTGCTGTTCCCAGTGTTTGATTATGCTTGCGTCGGTGGGTGTCCTTACCACTTCACAGGCAGACACAGATGTTTTTTTAATGAATAGAATTCTTACCGAATTTTCACTCATTCAATAAGTTTTGTTGAGCACATGAACACACAATTTGCATAGCTGAGCGGGGGTGTTGTTTTAAACAAGAAGGAAGCTTTATTGCTAGAAGCCCTGTGCTTACTCCTACACTGTAAATAGAGCTGCAGAGTGGCTTGCTCAGGGAAACAGCGTCTGGCCCAAAGTAAATGATCAACAAAGAGCTGATTTAAAAAAAAAAATCACATAAGATATTGACTAGCCAAGTTTGTTTCTGCCCATAGTTCACCATTGTTCTTGTCATTCAGATAATGGCTCAGCTCAGATCTGATGAGTGAGGGCGGATGGGGGCTCAGCCTCCTGCTCATCCCTTTGTCCGGACACTTGAGAGTAATGTCACTTTCTGTGCACTGTATGTCTTCCAGCTCTGGCGTTCTGCGTATCATTTCTCTGGAGCCGTGCCAGAGCCAAATATATCATTAGTATTCATTTATGAGTAAATGCAAATGCACTGAAAAAGAGAATTTGAATTCACAGAACACAACAAATATTTTGCTCCTTAATTTTCCCATCTCTTTATTTTTATAGTCTCAGAAACAGTAGCATCTCTTTAAGTGCAATTATATGTAAATGATTATTTGGGATTTCTTTTAGAAAGGGAAGTGTCTTATGGGTATTTTAGTTGAGGAGATTTTTTTTTTATTCTCTTGACATGTTTGGCAGGATGGTCTTTTATTGTAGAAGCTCTCATTAATGAATAAAATAAATCAAAAGGTAAAGGGAAGTATTGGTGGAGAGAATGCTTGCTAAAAATCTTGGAGAGAAGATTAGGAGCATTACCACCAGGGCTGTGAAATTGTGGCAGTATAAATACATTTTTTTCTTTAAACACATAATTTTAATCTTTTAAGAATCTTTTCTTCCAGTAGCTTAATATCATGATACTATTACAATTAAGTGAGTAGTAATCCGGTAATGGGTTTATTGTTTGTTTTAAGGAAAGGTGAGTAGTTTGACTAAAGGAAAACAAATCAAATTAAGGGGATAATTTTTCAAGTCACAGATTTATCTCCACTTCAGACCTGTCAGTTATTTGCTAAGAGGGTGGGTCAAAATCAAAATAACAAATAGGTAGTTAAACTTTTCATTATGGAATAAATTGTCACTGTTTAGAAAAATTCTGTATTTAAATTTTTCTGTGAGTTTAATATGAATTCTTTGAAGGCAGTCAAAGTGTTTTTTTTTTTTTTTTTTTTGGAATCCAATTAAATTGTTGACAGATTTTGTTTCCTCTAACATCAGTTTTTGTTCCTGAGAGTCATGGTATTATCTTAGCCTGTATGGCAAAAGTGCTTAAAGCAACGTGTTAATTCTACATCTTTAAAATCCTTGATCTCAGTGAAACACTTTTGAATAGCTAAAACCCATCAAAAGTAAAGGTGAAAGTTGCCTTTAGAGAGGCATGTGATGTAAGGAAGGGTAAGGGAAGCAGTCTGAATTTCATACACAGTTTTCATCATTGTAATTTACTATTAATCTCAGTGAGGTGCGGTGGGTTATTTTCCATTTTCTTGGGAAGACTTGTGAAACAGAGCTATGTCAATTTTAAGAAAAAGTTGAAGAGTTGATTTGACTTTACGTCAAGTTTTATGCCTGTAAATTCTATATTATATGTCCACAGACCCTTATGTATATAAAGTAGTTACTTTTCTTTTATACCTGTGTATTATGTAATTACCCTGAACGTCAGGAAGAGGGTCCCCTCGGTGGTATATGTGCTTGTGACGTGGACATCATCCAGAGAAACACGCTTACAGATGTTCATCTAGTTTGATATCAAAATGCTGGAGTTGCTTTTTGGAACAATTTGTTTAAAAAACACATAATAGCTTGCAGTATGTGTCTGGCATTGTATAAGGGGCTCTAGTAATAATAAGTCTTTCAATTCCGGTAGTCAGTCTTGTACCCTCCAGTCTGCAGAAGGAGAACAGGTAAGCAGAGTTATTGTTACTGTCACCGTGGGGAGCTGGGGGAGTTGAGGCTTTGTAAAGATGGAACAAGTGGCTCAAGCTCTGATAGCTGCTAAGGGCAGAGCTAATTCTCGCTCTGCTGTGCCACTGCCCTTGAATTGTTTTTTGTTTGTTTGCTTTTAAGCTCACTTAAATAGGGGGCCAAGTGGAAAGCAAGTTAAGTTGTAAAACAGAAGTACACTGTGACTACTGAAATTGACAACTGTTTTCACTTTAGAGTGAATTCCTGAGAAATTTGTAAGGAAGGTGATTGTACTGAAGCAATGACATAGCAGGGCCAGTGTCGTATCTTAATGTAGGGTTTAATGGACTCAATAATTTTCCAAGGTTCAGCTCCTTTTAAATTAGGTAACTTTAAGATCCGATGCCACACCTAAGTAGTTTTAGTAGCACAGAGGATCTGATATCGGATGCTCTGTGCCTGCCGTAACACCCTTATAATGTGAACTCCTACAGCGAGGTCAGTAGTCTCTGCTACCAGGCCGTCTCTGCCAAGGAATATGAGCTCAGGGATGGACGGTGTGAAGGAAACTTCACTCAGGCGTGCCCCACCCAGGACCTGGACAGGGTATCCAC